AAGGATGACTGGCAGGGGCACCTGGGTGGCTCAGTCGGTTAAGCATCCTACTTCGGCTCAGGTCATGATCTTGCAGTTTGTGAGAGTTCAAGCCCCGCATTGGGCTCTGTGCTGACAGCTCAGAGCTTGGAGTCTGCTTTGGATTCTGTGTCTCCCTCTCTCTCTCTGCTCCTCCCTCCACTTGCACTCTTTCTCTCTCTCTCTTTCTCAAACATAAAGGTGACTGGAAGACATGAAAAAAAAATCAATAATACTTATAAATGATGGTTACTTTCAGTAGCACACACATTAAGGAGCTAGTAAGGGAGAAGCTCATACAGTAAGAGAAATAAGGAATTTAATAAAATCAACACACCTTACTTCCTTCTTAGGAAAGTTCTTCTAGAACTCTAGAGTTCTTCTAGAAGAAGGTTAGGAAACTGTAGTGTTCTTCCTGAATTATTATTGCAGCGGTCTATAAATATTCTATTGGTCTAAATTGGGCACGTTCTAATGTCCATCTGTTCCCCGGATAAATGATGTAGTCCCCAGTTAATACTAATTGCAAAATCACTACATAGGAAACTGGTCTGAATGATTGCAGAGAGAATGGAGTCAGCACCTATGGCTTTTGTTTACCTGGAGAAGGCTAGTGACAGGCACAAAGAAAAAAAAAAAAAGGAAAAAGGAAAAAATAAATAAGCTTTATCTGCAGTCAAGGGGAACAATTAGAGTAGACCTAGTGAGAAACTGCACTAAACACGCTTCTTCCTGCAGGCGCCTGAGCCCCAGAAGAATTCTCTTGTCTCTCTCTTTCTCCCACCTCCCTCTTCTTTTTCTCCTAGACACATACACACGTGCACACACAATTTTATAATCTGATGTTTTTCATTCAAAAGACATGCATCGATGTCTAAGTAGAATTACTTAATGCTTTACTCTGGCTTTGAGTTGCACCTATGAATCCATCCTATGCTAATCAACCTAATCCATGGTAATGACCCCAAGTTTCTAACAGCTAGACTCCCTATGCTAAATCTTCTGCATTGTTTTTCATAACCTAAGACCCATATTGGTTGTTTGGCAAAATAAGGTAGTCCTTGCAGGGGAAGGGGAAACAGTTCTAAGGAATTTTGTAATGTAATCAGATTGCTGTGTCGTTTTGGTGAGAAAAGTGGCAAACCAGAGAGTGAAGACTTTAGAGAAACTTGGTAGTGTAGGACTTAGCTAATTTTGGAAGACTGGTATGACGTATGGAGAGGCTGACATTTGATAAACACATTCCATGCTCCGTGCCAGTCACTTTACATTACGTAGGTTTTAGTTTTCATATTGTCTAGAAGAGATTACAGCTCAGAGAGGTTAAGTAACTTGTCCCAAACTCGTGGCTAGTACACGGTACATCCCTGGTTCAGTTCCAGAACTGTCCTTCTACACTATCATGCTGCATAAGGAGAAGTCCCTCCCCAGGGAGGGAATGCCATGTATCACACACCGATGGTTCCACCAGATAATTAAGACAAGACAAAAAAGTGCAAATGGACCTATTCCCTATCATCTTCCGTCACAGTGAGCTGGGTTGTGGGCCTGGAGGGAAAGTCTAGAGGACGGGACAAGCTAGCTCTGTGCTATAGCTGCCAAAGGAAAGACCCCTGTGAAGAAAAGACTATTAACAATCTCAGCTCCATTAAATTTAAAGCAGCTGCTAACAGTAGGGGCCTTTACATTGTCAATTATATGAATTTTCCTATTACTATGTCATACCAAAGAGCAATTATAGTACATTCATCAAACACTGCTTCCGCTTCTCTGGTTCTGTCCATTAATGCCACAGTGGCAGGCCTTGGAAATCCTTGAAGACAAATCTAACATGCAGACTTTAATTGTTTCAAGGATTTGTGGTCAGAAACAACACTAGGTGAGTAGTAGGGGGTCAATTACACAATTAGATAGTGATAGGCAGGGACCAGCTGAACTCACGCAACGCACAAAGTCTTTATATATCAGTTCACTTTGCAAAGTGCTTTGACACCTACCATTGCACCTCGAGTTTGCTTCTATCCCATTAGCCGGTCTGAGAACTATTTAATTACCCTGCTTCTTGCACAGTTGAGGAAATGGGGACCAGAGAGTCTCTGCTGAATCAGAGCCTGAGGATGCCTGTGCACTTCTGTCCCTACTGAAGAAGCAGAGGAAGAACAAATGACCAGTCTTATCTCATCATGCCCCATAATGAAAACAAAGGAATATAATGAGGAAAATGGTCCCACAAAAAGACAGGAAAGAAGTAGGAGGAGAGCGTGGAAAGGAGACAGAAAAGGTAGTAAGCATCAATCTTACTAAGGATGGCTCCAGATTGAGTTACCTTTACTTATTTTTTAATTTTAGAGAGAGAGCATGCACGAGCAGGGGAGAAGGGCAGAGGGAGAGAGAATCTTACGCAGGTTCCATGCCCAGTGCAGAGCCCAATGCAGGGCTCAATCCCACAAATCAACGCAGGGCTCGATTCCATGATCCCTGGAATCATGACCTAAGCTGAAATCATGAGTCAGACACTTAACCGACTGACCACCCAGGTGTTCCCAACTGAGTTACCTTTTTTTTTTTTAATGTTTATTTATCTTTGAGAGCTACATATAGAGAGAGACAGAGTATGAATGGGGGAGGGATAGACAGAGAGGGAGACACAGAATTTGAAGCAGGCTCCAGGCTCCAAGCTGTCAGCACAGGGCCCGATGTGGGGCTCGAACTCATGAACCATGAGATCAACCGACTGAGCTACCCAGGTGCCCCAAGTTACCTTCATATCATTCCCCTTCAAGATGTGGTATGTGCTGTTACAACCCCACAAAGACAGAAAGACAAGCTTCCAGAAAATGAGGGAGGTGAGGAGGAGGAAAAGATAATTAGTTCTTTGTAGTAAGAACTGATTTCAGAGAAAGCCTACCTACTCTCAAAAGGCAGGTTTCCCATGGTCTCAACAGCATCAGTTTTTGTTTGCTTGTTTTTACATAAATGTGATGTGCAACACTGTGTGAGTTTAAGGTGTATAGTGTGTAACTTTGATACATTTATGTACATTTATATAGTGGCATGGTTGCCAATGCAGTGATATTTATCACATTACATAATTATAGCACAGTAACTGTCTATATCATTATAATGCACATTAGATCTTTAGGGCTTATATGCTATTCATTACAAGTTGTACCCTTAAACACTACCACTTATCCCCCTATCCCCAGATAACCACGTTTTACTCTTTGTTTTTGGTTTTGCTTTGTTTAATTTTAGAAAGAGAGAGAGAGAGAGAGAGAGAGAGTGAGGAACAGGCAGAGAGAGAGGAGACAGAGAATGTCCGTGCTGAGAGCACATGGGATCATGACCTAAGCTGAAATTAAGAGTTGGATGCTCAAGTGACTGAGCTACCCAGGTGCCCCGTTTTACTCTGCTTTTTACAGGTTTCCTTTTTTTAGATTCTACATATAGGTGATATCATAAGGTACTTGTCTTTCTCTGTCTGACTTGTCTTGCTTAGCATAATGGGCTCAGTAGTTTAGAAATCACTAGGGAAATGACCTCTGCACAAGATGGTTCCTTTCAGTTCTGTGCAATGAAGTGCTCAAGGAGCACTTAAGTTCCAAATTCCTTTCTATGCACTTGGTAGACATTGAAATAAACAAGAAATGTTTCCTGCCCTTGGGAAACATGCCATTCCTGGAAGTAACCAAAACCTTGGCAAATGATTCAATATGGCATTTTAAATGCCAGAGGTGAGCTCAGGTTTTGCCATGGGAGCACAAAGGAGGAAGAACATCTCGATTATCCGGGAGGAATTCTCCCAGAGCTGTCTCACATGATAGGTAAGAGCCGATAGGCTCAGTGAAAAAAGAAAAAATAGGAAGGGCTTGCCAAAGAAGGAATAGTGTAGGATACAGATTCTGCTCTATCACTTGGCCAAGCACATTATGGAAGCAAACAGATAAAAGCCAGTTTCGGTGAACGGATGCTTCTCATCAGGCCACACATAACTCAAAGAAACAGGATGCTTCGGCATGGTGGTCGGAGCACCCAGGATAGAGGAGGGTGCCACACCGAACATTCCTCAGGCCCTGTGTCCTTTCTCTGGCTCCTCATATCCTCCCCATGTTCTCTTCTCTCTGCAGCTGCCCCAGTTTCCCCACTGTTACCTCAGCTTCCTGGAGACACACTGACCCCCTAACTCCTTGAAACAACTTGTGAAGAAATCTCTTAAAAATTCTCTTAATTCAAATGGGATAACCATTTCCAAGGAATTAATGATAAAAACAAACCTTAAACTTTAAAAACAATGACGGAATTTAGGATTATAAAACCAATTTACCAGGCTATCTATTACTGCATCACAAACTACCCCAAAACTTACATTACCTCAAATGACTTAAAATAACCACTCTATCCACTTACAATTTTATGAGTCAGTAATTCAGAATGAGTTTGGCTGGGTGACTGGTCTCTGATCCACATGGTATTAGCTAAAGGCTGGGACTGAGGGTCCACTTTCAAGATGGCCTCTTTACTGTATATGGGAAACTCCAGGATTCCTTGACATTCCCTCCATCTCTCCCTCTCCCTCCCTCCCTCATTCTCTCTCCATGATGTCGTATTCTCTGGGACTCATTCATGTGGCCTGGGATTCTTTCAAAGTGATTGTTTCAGGGTAGTCTCCCTGCCTGGCAGCTGGCTTCCAAGAGAGCAACAACTTAGAAGATGCCAGTCCTCCTTCAAACAGCTGACACTTGAATGATATCATTTTGCCATTTGCTATTGGTCAAAGCAGTCGCAAACCATCCCATATTCAATAGATCTCTACTCTCAATGGAGGCAGTATCAAAGAATTTATGTCCATCCTTAATCTGCCACAGTAGCTCAAGAGAAATTTGGCCAAAATTTAGCTTCATTAAACTGTGAAGCATTTGGAGCAGCCACCCCCTGGATTCTTATTTCTCATCATGATGAAGAAAACAAAAAACAAAGCTTACATCCTAAATTCCTCCTCATAAGTAGATGCCATGCTTGCAACACTCTTAGTGTGGGCCCTGCAGAAAAAAAAAAAAAAAAGAAGATGGGCTGTCAATTGCAAAAGAATTTACCCACAGTATCTATACCTGTTTGTCCCATTTGGACCTCCTGCGGCAGATGGAATATCGAGAGTAGACCACTGTGAGAGCCACACAATTCCCCCCCCCACACCCCCCCACATGTCTATAAATAATTGCTAGAACTTTGCCATGGTGCTAACCTTCTCAGTGAGCCAGAATATGTAATATCACATTGAAATTCTACTCTCTGGCACGTTAAGAGTTACTAGCAGAAAAATCCAAGAACTAATTTTCAGTATGTCTTTATAAGGAATTCACCATTAGAACCATTCTGAACATTGTGTATAATGTGATTAGATAGAAACGGCATTTAAGCCTTAAAAAAAAATACTTAAGTATGTTGCCATCATAAGTAATTGATAGAGGTGAGACTAGAGCCCCGGCCATCTGACTGACCATCTGACTCCAAAGCCCATCTTCCTACTACCTGTACTTAGTGTCCTAATGCAATTTAAAAAAAGAAAAATAAAATAAAAAAAGCTCAATAGGAGGACAGGGATGGAAAATGCCATCCTTGCTTAGAAAGGATAGAAGTTGTCTCCAAATCTTTTTAGTTCCCAAAAGTCACCATGACAGGTGAGTAGACATGGTGCTTCTTGGGAGCTGCTAATGAATACAGGCCCAGGAGGTGACAGGGAGGATTAAAGAGGAAGCAAGCTATGATATCAATGGTTGTCTCCTGTGTCTGGCTACAGCTCAGGGGCGTTTAGGAAGGCGCTAGGCAAATTTTCAGAGTAGGAAGCTTGTCTTCTAGAATTCAAGTTTTCTTTGCCTTTACTCACTCTGGAGCACTGGAGCTTATCTGCTCCCTCACTCCAGCCACTGTCCCCACAGCTTCTTGAAGGTCTAACTGCCCAGCAACCTCCTGCTCCTCCCTCTTCCACCAAGAGGGCACTGTCACTTCCCCGCCTTAGTACAAAGTAGTCCTAGGAATGACTCCAATATCTGCCATTTGCACTCAGGTTTAGGGTTTACCAGTGTGGCTTCCTCTTCAGGAAGTACTTGCATTTCCACACTTCTCTCTTCACTGGCACCCTCTAAACCAAGTCAATGTAGGCAGCAGCCATTTGGCCATAACTCAATCCCAAAAGATGCTTTATTTAATCAAAACAGATTTTAATCTAAAGATCTAAAGAGAGGAGAAAAAGAGATTCAATAAACAATTCATTATTATTACTTAGTAAACAATTTCTGAGAATAAGTAAAATTTTACAACGTCCTTACATGGCAATGGCAGTTAATTGTGAGAATTCTTCCACACATTATGAATCACTTTCCTAGGCAGGGATGATATTTTTAAAAATTCAATAATGTTTTATGCTATTCAATTTATAAAAGTTGTATCAAAGGTGAAACAGAATGGTGATAGGACTAGGACCAAGTCATCAGGTCCAAATTCCATGATCTTTCAATTATTTTCCTTGCAAATTTCCCTACTGTTTTAGCTCTGGGTTGTCTCTATGGTAACAAGAGGAACTTTTTCCAATTCTCTCTATACCGAGAACGTTCATATATAAGCTTTCAAATGCTTAAAGGTAACGGGGATCCGTTAAAGGAGTCTACATTGTTTCAACCAGTTAAATTGCAATAAAGAGAAGCCCCAAATTTTAGAGAGTGTAACCCAATGAAAATTTATTTTTCATACACCTCCAAGTCCCAAGTGGGTCAACAGACAAAACTGTTTCTCATAATCCTTTGGAGATATGGGCTGAGAGAGCACCACCTTGCACGTATGGTCAAGCAGGCTCTAAGCCAATCGGAAGATGCTGACTTGCACAATGGCTCTTAAAAGCTCCCACCTGGAGGGGACAGAGGTTTCCTCCACTCACACTGTATTGGCCAAAACAAGCTGTGTATATTCTGCCTAAGTTCACAGGGGATGGGGAACTATCAGCTTACCACATGTGTGGAAGGAGAAGACATTTGCAAACAATCAAAATTACTACCACACTCTCAAAAAAGAAATGAACATGACTGAAGGTTATCCTAACCACTAGATAATTTAATAACTCACTTATAATCCATTTAAAACTCATTTGTAGTCTACGGGTAGACACCAACAAGAATAAGAGAAAGCCTAGGAGTGAGCATGGTTCATGAAATCAGGAATAAAAAACACTTTTCAAATAATCCCCCCAAATTAGTCACAAGGATAAGATGATTCAACACACATAAGTATTCTGTATATCACAGATGCCTGGTTCCTAGATTTAAAAAGTACCATAAATGAAAAACAACAATCAAGAATATCCAAAGCTTCGGGGCGCCTGGGTGGCGCAGTCGGTTAAGCGTCCGACTTCAGCCAGGTCACGATCTCGCGGTCCGTGAGTTCGAGCCCCGCGACAGGCTCTGGGCGGATGGCTCGGAGCCTGGAGCCTGTTTCCGATTCTGTGTCTCCCTCTCTCTCTGTCCCTCCCCCGTTCATGCTCTGTCTCTCTCTGTCCCAAAAATTAAAAAAAAACAAAACAAAACAAAAAAAAAAAAAACTTTAAAAAAAAAAAAAAGAATATCCAAAGCTTCTAGAATATCTCAAAACAAAAGTTATTATAACTAATCAATTGTATGAGGGAGGTAGATGGAGAAAATTATGATGAAAATTTGGTTGCAACGTTATTATATGGCAGCTTATTTATCCTAGGAAATTGAAACTTATATTATTTGACTTTCTATAATTTATATGGAAATTTCTCACATATCATTGCCTCAAATCCACATAGCAATCCAGCAAAGCAGTTCATCCTTATCTCCATTTCAGAGCGGAAGAGACTGAGGTTCTGTAAGTATATGGTTTGCCCAAGGTCCCTCATATAAAAAGAGTGACAGAGCCCATTTTGAGCCCATTTTGAGCCTGTCCCATTAACCCAAGAAAGGATTGAAATGTGGCAATAATATCGTAGGTTTTAATTCTTTTTTTTTTTAAGTTTATTTATTTATTTTGAGAGAAACAGAGAGAGTGTGAGCAGGGGAAGGGCAGAGAGAGACAGGGAGAGGGAGAATCCCAGGCAGGCTCGTGCTGTCAGCACAGAGCCCGACATGAGGCTTGAACTCATAAAACTGTGAGATCATGACCTGAGCCAAAATCAAGAGTCAGATGTTCAACTGATTGAGCTTCCAAGGCAACCCCACAGATACTAAATTCTTAAAGCTCGAATTATTTAGTCTTCCATTTCTTAAGCTATGTCCCATATAAGAGCAGGTGTTCTTGGAAATAAAGAGAAAATGGAAATAGGTTTGGGACCCTCTGAGTTAAGCAAAAGAAAACATAGTTTCTTATAAGACTTTGCAGAATCCTTAATGCGGTATTAAGTATTGTTGATTTCAATGAGTGAAAGTGTGGTTGACAGAATAACGATCCCCCAAGATGCCCATATTTTAATCCCAAACATGTGAATATGTTACATGGCAACAGGGACTTTGCAGACGTGATTAAGGGTCCTGAGATGGGAGACTGTCCTGGATTATCCTAATGGGCCTGGCTGTAAACACAAGGGTTCTTACAAAAAAGAGACAGGAATGTAAGGGTCAGAAGAGATGTGATGATATGATGATAGCGTAGAGGGCAGAGATAAGATGGCCCAAGACACAATCCAAGGGTTGTGTTTAAAAGCTGAAAAAGACAAGGGTATGAATCCTGCTCTAGAGCCTCTAGGTGGAAACACAACTTGCCAACACCTTGATTTTAGCCCAGTTATACCCATCTTGAACTTCTGGCCCCCAGAACTGTAAGAAAATAAATCTTTGTTGTTTGAAGCCATTAAATTTGTGACAGTTTTTTTTTTTTACAGTACCATAGGAAACAAACACAGGAGGATACAATAAGACTTTGCTTTTAAACTTATTTGTAATTGCACCTTTTATCCCCTATAATGCCTACCTCAAGAAATACAGTTTGGAGAACAATAGTATAATCCAATCCCCTACGATTATCCTGAGGTATGGGTTACTGATGTTGAGAGTAACATGCTTGATCAGGGTCAAAAAATAATAGTAAATAGAAGAGAGCAGTATTTGACATTTAAAGCTTAGTGAGAATAACTCACTCAATCACCCCTTGATATTAGTTGCAAAGGTTTTGTCTCCTAAACATTACATGCACCTGGCTCTCTTGGCTACCTGGAGAGAAAAGGCAGACGTTCTTTCCCTGTCTCCTCTCTCTTCAACACAGACACTTTTCTTATATGCTGCAGGCAAAAATAATTTGAAGCAGGTGACAGCAGAGCTCTTCTTTTTAATGCCCTTTGCCTCAGGCACAAGACTGGATCTTTCCAGACACTAGAAATGTTATGAGCGGACATTCACCCATTCTCCCCCTGGCAAAGCCAAAACATACTTTTCAATTGGATCTCAGAAATGCTGATGAATATCAGAGGCCTGACAGGCTGCAGTTTTTACTTGTGTTTTACTTGGAGTGGCTTGCACAGGAGAGGAGAAAAGAGGGAGGGCAGGTCTCTCCAACCTGCAACCCTGCCTTGGCCTGCTAGAGATGAGAGGCGAGGGTGATGAAAATCCATCCTGCTAATGCAATAGGCTTAATGCTGGTTGGTTTGAAACCAGCAGAACCACAAAAATTGCAAACCTTCTCAGAGTATAGCATTTCAGGATCATAAAGAAGTATAAATCATCTCTAAAATAGTAGAAAACTGGGCCCCCAGCCTTCAAAGGTTTCTACAAATCATTTTTACCTCTTACCCAAGAGAAACACTCATGATGCATTAGATTTGGAGAAAGGAGGAAAAATTCCTGGAGAGCACAACTGTGGTTATGTCACTATCACTGAAGGGGCCAGCATGATTGAACTGTTTTGCCAGGACAGTAGCTTAAATCCCCCAAAGGCAATTGCAATACTCCAGTAAGTAGAAAATGAAGGTCTGCTCAATAATCTAGAATGATTGTTAATGTGAGTTCCAAAGACATTAAATATGCTTTATTCCAACATG